TCCTCGTTTCCTACACTCTCCTCTAAGTCGCTAAAGCGGGCTTAAGACAAAGAACTTCCGTCGTACTATCATTAATCAATGAATAGTTACAACGAACCCCCTGCAAACCAAAGAAACACCATTTCCTACCTTACACTGAACCAATCAAATTCCTCATACTCTCATGAAATTCCATCTTCATTCTTTAAAATTATTCAACTCAACTGTCATAACGCCTTTGAAGTCACACACAGTCTTTTAAATTCCGAAAAAGAGGCCGCAATTTTAATCCTCCAAGAACCCTGGATAAACCCCCACACCATGAAATTACCAACCCATAACAGTTGGTTCGCTTTGTTAGATGACAACCACGCCCCCAAAGATTATCATAACAAACACAGAACCTGTTTCATGATAAACAAAAGATATACCTCAGACAGAATTCATCCCCTTGATGGAGGTTCACGAATTCTGTCGGCTGTGGAATTAGATGTAAAAATCAATAACATTAACAAAATAAGACTAATAAATGTGTATAATCCCCCCAAAACCTTTGAAGCTCTTACCGAACTCAATTCTTGGCTAACAAATTTCAATGACCAAAACACTCCTTCTTTCATCTTTATGGATTCTAATTTACATCATAAATTGTGGAATCCAGCTAACTATTCCCATTCTCACAGCGAAGCGAAAGAACTGATTAGAATTTGTGGCAGAAAAGGCTTTAAAATCATCTCTGAAAAAGGAATCCCTACCTTCTCAACCAAAAGATGCAGCTCAACAACCATCGACCTCACCTGGTGCAATTTCTCAGCGCAAAAGCTAATCCAAAAATGCTCGACCTCACACGCCAATCATGGATCGGACCATCAAGCGATCCACCTCGAGCTCAATTTTTCTTCTCAACTCCAGATCAACAAACGGTCATCTTACAATCTGGAAAATATCGATGTAGAAAAATTCAATAAAGACCTCAATCATTCTCTCAAAAATGTTAACAATATCTCACTAACAAACTCTTCCGAAATTGATTCCTTTGTTCACAAACTAACATTCTCTTTCCAAGACGCGCTGAACAAACAAAAAAAAGAAGTCAGGAACAACAACGCGAAAGCTAAACCTTGGTGGGATAAAAAGATCTTAGACCCTATAGTCGATAAAAGGAATCGGGCCCGGAAATGGATGCTTCTGTCGAAATCATCAAATTCTTGCAACTGCTACCAGCACTGGCAACGAATATTCAGGGATAAAGTATTTGAGCTAAAAAAAAACCATTGGAGGAGGTTCTTAGCTGAATGCAAAGATCACCAAATATTCAAAGCCTACAAGTATACCAAACCTACTAATCACGGAAGCGTTGCCCCCCTCCTTGATGAAAACAACAACTTAACATCTAATAAAGAAGAACAAGCTAACCTCCTCTTTAAAGGTACATCAGATGCCCCAATTAACATTTCTCTCCACAACATCATACCCCCCTTCTTCAATCTCCCTCTAGCCTTCCCAAACATCTCGACACTCGAGATAAAAACAATTATCTCCAATCTTCCCAACAAAAAAGCCCGCGGCCACGATGAGATTGCAAATGAAATGATTAAGTGGAGTGTGAACAAACACGTTAATCACCTGATCAGTTTATTTTCTGCTTGCTTTACAATAGGTTATTTCCCGAAATCATGGAGACACGCAACAACGGCAATCATCCGCAAAGCGGATAAAGATTCATACTCAGTTCCTGGATCATACAGACCAATCGCTCTTCTATCTTGCCTTAGTAAAATCTTTGAAAAGATTATAACTAATAGAATCACTTACTGGGCAGAGAACAACAACATTTTAGCAGAGGGCCACTTCGGTGGAAGAGCTAACCGCAGTACTGATGATGCTAACCTATTTCTGACATCTTGGATTAAGCATAAATGGAGGGAAAAGAAGATAGTCACGGCCCTCTTCCTTGACGTTAAATCGGCTTTTCCAACAGTCATTAAAGAACGAATGATTGATACACTGATAAAAAAGAATGCACCTTCTTATTTAACAGCCATCCTGAACAGCTTACTTTCTGACCGAACTACTTCAATAAAGATGGACGACTTTACTTCAACACCATTTGATTTGAAATGTGGTTTACCACAAGGATCACCGCTTTCCCCAATCCTTTACATCATCTATAACTCATCCCTTCTGATTAATAACCCTCTCGACTTGAACCAAGACTCTATCTCTTTAGGTTTCATAGACGATGTTACACACTTGGTTGCAAACAAAGACATCGGAATAGCTACACAAAAGCTGGAACACGAGGGAGAGAGATCATTGCTGTGGGGATCCGAACACAACGCTATCTTTGATCAAAAGAAAGCAAAATATATGATCTTTACTCATCGACACATTCATCCCCCTCCGTTGAAGTTTGGGGAGTTTTCTCTTCCCCCATCATCTAATACTAAGTATCTCGGTATTATTTTTGACCCAAAAATTCTATTCAATGACCACTTAAAAAAAGTTAAGAAATGTGGAGACCAAACTGTAAACCAGCTGATCAGAATCTCAAGATGTTCCTTTGGCATCGGCCTACAACAATCTAGAAACCTAGCTATCAGTGTCCTTCGATCAAGAGTCCTTTACGGAAGCATGATCTGGGCCTCTGAAAGGAATCGCAAACATGTTAAAAGTATCATCGACAAGATAGAAAACCAAGCTAATAGAATGATTCTGGGAACCTTCCGTTCCACCCCATGCTCCTTCCTAAACAGGGAAAGTCCGCTAACCCCCTTCTTTGATACCCTGAAAAGGAAAAATCTTCTTTATTGCGCAAAAAAACTAACAGCTCCAGATCAACACCCAATCAAACGAATCCTCAAATCAGAACTAACAAACCGATCTCCAACCCACTCATCACCTATTCACAACTTGCTAGATCAGCAATCGCTAACTCAACTCAACATCAAAAAAATAGAAACAATCTTCCACCACCAAATCCAACCATGGGAAAGCTTCAGCCTCGAAATCAACAATATGAAGATCAAGAAAGAAAACGCAAAAGATGTTGTCACAAATCAGATCAACCAAATGAAGAACAGCTCAGAAAACCTACTATTCACAGACGGCTCCAACATTCCGGATCAAGGAACAGCGGCGGCAGCTCTCCTCAACAATTCGACATCCTTCGCCTGCAGAATCAACAATGCCAAAGACTCATCATCATTCGAAGCCGAAGTTACCGCAATCAACATCGGTCTTGAAATGTTCCAAAACAACCTCATCAACCTTCACTCCGGAAATCAACAACTCATTTTTGACAATCGACTCAACATCTTTAGCGACAATCAAGCAACTCTGACAGCAATTTCGAGGCCACCAGCATCGACATCACTTCAGTTCAGATTCAACAAAATTTTCACTCTCTTAAAATCAATTTCATCCAACTCAACTATACCGATCCATCTTTTCTGGTGCCCAGCTCACGTGGGTATCCCAGAAAATGAAAAAGTCGACTCTCTCGCCAAAGAAGCAACACTCAACAACCAACAATTCCGCCTTGAAGATCAACCACAATCGCTTTCGAACCTCCAACAACAAATTCGACATCAATACAAATTCAACAAACTCAAGAATCCGCTGATCCAAAACAACATCAAATTAACAACACCACCAAACAAAATCTTTAACAAACTCAATCAAATAGAAAGGGGAGGAGGGTCCGCAATCTATCAACTTCGATCCGGTCACTGCCCCCTCAACAACTTCTTATTCTCCATAAAAAAAATAGATTCTCCGCTATGTAACACATGCAACAAAATCGAAGACGTCAAACACTATCTATTATACTGTAATAAATACCACATTCAAAGAAAAAATTATCGGAAAAAGATCAAAGAAAACAAAATAAAAATCAACATCTTCTCAGTAAAATCAATTCTCGACTCGCCAACTAACTTCGACTTCTTAGCTAATTTCATTTTAGAAACAAAAAGATTCAGCAATTTAAAATTCTACATCGAAAATGAAAAAGAATAAAAATAAAATAAAATAAAATAAAAATAAAATAAAATATAAAAAAAAAAAAAAAAAAAAAAAAATGTTCATCCAATTCTTTCTATCTCTCTCTATCAGATTTCTTACGTATTTTCTTTCTCATACCTTCTAAAATTCTTCTCACTCTTCTAAATTGTTTTAATTTTTCTCTCTTTAACTTCAATTTCTCATTCATCTTACTTTCTCATTCAGTTATTAACCAAAACCAAAGATCTATAAGTTGTTGTCTAGTTTCCTTCAAAAAGTATGCGGGGGTTCATCGATCTGGACAGGCGGGTTGATTGGTGGCCTCTTCTCTCTCTCGAACACATCTTAATCAGAGGTTGTGGGTTAGGGCCCCACAATGCGACTTGCCTGGGAAACAAGGCGCAGAGAGTCGAGGTCATCGATTTTCCCAATTGTTCAGAAACGATTAAAAGAGGAGGATTTTTATCATATTCCTAACTTTTCAACTCAAATTCTCTCTAGTCTCTCTTCTATCCTCTTCTCGTTTCTTCTTCCGGTTTCTTTCGGGTCTTTTTCCTTTTTCCTTTTCTTTTTCTTTTTCTTTTTATTAACCGTTGCAGTCAGTTAAAACAAAGAAGATCTCAGAAGTCATTATCTAATTACTAGACAAAGTCATGTATTTTCGACCACAGATACAAAAACGTCATCGCATGTATTCTCACAATAGTTTTCACTGTAGTGCGCAATGTCAAAATCAATTAGCACTTAAAAAAAAAAAAAAAAAAAAAAAAAAAAGAGTGTGCAAAGTTAGAGCTGATTATTATAAGGCCAGGAATCTCTCCAGTTGTGCATCAATAGGCGCATGCCACAACGGCCGTTACAAATCCTCCATAACAGACCTGAAAACAATGACTTTTAGAAAATTGGATCCCTCCCCTGGGAGTCCCCATTTAGATTGTTCAATTCTAAATTCTACATGAAGGGTGATGGCAATATATGGCAACCTAAGTACAACATTGAGTTCAGAGGCAAGAAGCTTTAGAGTTGATCTTGAGAATGGACATTGAGAAATTAAGATCGACAAGAAGTCTTCCAATTGGTTTTCCAACCTACGGCCTTTTTGCTCGTTATCAACAACTTTCCGTCCGTCCGTACAAAACTTCAAATCTTCACTTGTGGCGTCTGCGCGCCTCTTGAGATGGGTATGTAGATGCAACGTTAACAGCTAAAAAATTGGAAAAAGTTTGACTGCATTACTGCCTTGCAGAAGTTTCATAGACGAAGGGAATCTTCATAGCTTATGTATTCTTCTGGTATTTTTTTCTGTTTCCCGTATCATGTTAAGGCCATGTGTAACTCCGCAGGTTTCAGGCATTGGCAAAAGGAAATTATTTACACTTTTGAGCACTTTCTTGATGTGCCATTGCAGTACATTTTGAAATGGCTTGTTACGTCATCAAAGGTCACACAATGTTTAACTCCGCAGTTTGCAGCCATCTGCCATTGGCGAAAGAAAATTACTTCTGATTATATTTACATAAATAAATAATCTCCTCGATGCGCTATTCCAGGAACTTCAAAACGTTGTTGGTATGCCGTCATGAAGTCTGCGCTAGAACCTAGCATCATGTCACAAGAGGTCTATTGCAGCGATTCCAAATTCTTCAAGCGCATTAAGATCCTTTTGACAGTTGATGAGGGGAGAAAAGGTTTCTCGAGCAGCCTGGTTTGTTCTTGTTTTTCCTCCGCTGCTCTTTTAGCAAACTGATTTGTTATTTTTCTTCCGCTGCTTTTTATCAGAGTTCGTTCGAACCCGAGAAACAATATGGCAAATGTGGCTTCAATGGAAAAACATAACAATAACTCCGACCCTGCTTCTGTGCCTGACCGCAGCTCCGACCACAAGACCAACCTCAATTTCGTGGAGGATTCTTATCCTTCTTTGCTTGATGAGTGTGAATTGGATTCCTTTCGAGGCAAGTACTTGTAGATTATATCGTAGAATTCTGGTCTCTCCCATCAAAGTAATTGCTAAGTCTCCAAGACCTGACCTTCACTTCTCTGATGGATTGCACTTATCATTTTTCATATGGGAAGTAGAGGGGGACTCACACAAAATATACGAAGCAAAAGCCCGCATTCTGAACGCAGCGATGCAAGAGATTGGAATGGGACGATATCAATGGAAACTATTCGTAGTCGTTGGATTCGGCTGGGCGGCTGACAACTTATGGCCGATTGTGACATCACTCATACTTGGTCCGGTATCTCAAGAATTTCAAGTGAAACAGCCCGCATTCCTCACGCTTTCTCAAAACCTCGGCTTGCTATTTGGCGCCATGTTCTGGGGTTTTGGGTCCGACATATTTGGAAGGAAATTCAGCTTCAACATAACGGTTTTCATCACGAGCATCTTTGCCTTGATCTCGGCCTCTTCAACAAGCTTCGTGTCTATATGCCTTTATATCTTTTTTTGGTCGACAGGCGTTGGCGGAAATCTGCCGGTAGATTCGGCGATATTTCTGGAATTTTTGCCGGGCTCTCATCAATATTTATTGACAGTTCTATCAGTTTTTTGGTCTATCGCCCAACTGCTCGTGACACTTCTTGCTTGGCCTTTATTATCAAACTTCTCATGTCAACCGAGCGCCCCGAGCTGTACCAGGCGGGAGAATGCAGGCTGGAGATGGCTTTTGATTTCCACCGGAAGTGCTGCATTCCTGATGTTCTTAGGTAGATGTTTGACTATCAAGATCCACGAAAGCCCTAAATATTTGATGGGTAAGGGAAGACAAGAAGAAGCCGTAGCAGTGATACACGAAGTAGCTCGTCGCAACAAAGTCAAATGCTCGCTTACCATCGCACACTTAAAACAATTCGGACCCGTTGAGAAGGTGTTCGATAAGGAGGATCGATTGATGACTCTGAAGGCGATCCTGATGCAGAGATTGAGAAGGTTCAATTTTCAACACTTCAGTGATCTATTTAGCACTCCTGTAGTTGCGTTGTCGACTGTATTAATCACCACGATCTGGGCCCTCGTTGGACTGGCATTTCCGCTCTACAACGCATTCATCCCCTTGATTGAAACACAGCGGGGCATCAGATTTGGCGATGAAACCTCCACCACCTATCGAAACTCATTGATTATCGCAGCGGTAGGCTTACCAGGATCAGTAATTGGAGCCTTCATGACGCAAACACCGCAACTTGGCCGAAAGGGTTCATTGGCTATCACGTCCGCCTTGACTGGTATTTCGCTTTTCAGTTCATTGACCGCTTCCTCATCTAGGATATTGCTCGTCTGGAACTGTTTATTCGGATTAAATACCAACTTCTTGCTTTCAATCTTGTACTCTTATACTCCTGAAATATTTCTGACAAAATGTAGAGGTACTGGAAATGCCCTTGCTGCTTCAGTTGGCAGAATTTGTGGTACTTTAGCTCCTGTTGGTCAGTATCTATTCCTCTTTTATTCTAGTATTATTTATATTTGAAAATATAGCTGATGGGGTTCTTTGTTTCCTCCTTGCTCGGCTCCATTTTCCCATGTTTTCCTTTATCAAAGTCTTCATGTGTACCAACATAAAAAGTTCCTTACCTGTCTACATCAGTGGCTCTTTATTTTTTGTTGTTGCATTTCTATCATTACTTCTTCCTCTAGAGTCCCAGGGTTCTGCAAGCCTTTAGATCAGCAAATATGTTATTCCTTTTAAAATATAGGGACTGAAAAAAATGTAAAGCCATGAATCAAAGTCCACAGCCTTCAAGTTTTCAGAATAGACAGGTGTTAAAAAAGTTTCCAATCAAGGAAAAACATGATAGTGATTTATATGTCTATGTGACAGTCTCACTGGGGGTTAGGGGAGAGGGGGGATTTGAAACCAGATCAAATGAGAATGCATTGAATTAAATTTATTCTTGAATGTCTTATGACATGTCCCATGTATTTTCAGATGTAAAAAAACCTAAACCAGGTGAAAATGGTGAAAGTCTAGATATTAATATTTCATCTCTGGTTGTTTGCATTGAACTGAAATTATGGGGGTATTTCTGTTTTGATAAACATTTTTGGATTTCAAAGATATCAGATTTCCCCTTTGTATGCAGATGTGACAAATTGCATGGGCTAATGTTGAAATCTTTGCAGCTGGTGTCACTTTTTTCATTATTCATCTTCACTAATCAATTTTTCATGTTTCCCTGTGCCCACTGATTGATCATATTCTGATCATGAATAGAATGAAAGAAAAAAAATCTGACTGCTCTATGCATGAGAGGAAACTTGAGCAACATTTATTCTTTTTTCTTGAAGTTGAGTGGCACTTGATGCTCTCATTTAATACAGCTTGGTTAGGGATTCATTACAGATCACCTGTGATCTGTGGAACTGTCTCAATCTTGAAACACAAGAGGTTCAAGTTTCCTGACCAAGTTAAACATCACAGCCTGAAGTTTCCTCAGTTTATTTACAGATCTGACAGGTGAGGGGAAAATAATTTGGCCATAAAAATAGGGGCTTGGAAAAACGACTCCTAAAAATTAGTCAACGACTCCCGTTTTGGTCGAGAGGTCGTCGGACGGGAGTCGTTCTTCCAATTCCCCCAAAAAAAAGGGGAGTCGTTGTCCTAATTTCAATGGTGATTTTTTAATTTTTTTTATTAAAAAAAAGGGAGTCGCCCGCCTAAAGGGCGGGAGTCGTCGTACCAATTTAGCCAAATATTTTTTATTTTTTTTCATTAAAAAAATTGGGAGTTGTCCACCTAAAGGGCGGGAGTCGGCGCACCAATTATAACCAATATTTTAACCTTTTTTCTGCATTAAAAAAACAGGAGTCGTCCAACTCAAAACAGGAGTTGTCGACCTCTAGCAACCCTAAAAACTCAAAAAAAAGTTCAGCCACTGGGGCCCCGCCCCAAAGGCACTTTATCAATGATTAAAAATTAGATTCATTGAGAAAAACAAATTCAAGAAATAATTGAAATAAATTGATGAGATGTTGAGAAATGTAAACAAAAAAACAATGAGAAATGTAAGAAAAAAACAGGGATAAAAGAATTCAATTGATGAGAAATATAAGAAAAAAACACAGGGTAAAAAAGGACAGAGGAAAAAAAATAAAAACTAAAAAAAGACACAGGCAGAAAAAAAACTAGTAGTGGGTCATTGGATTTTGAATCTCGGCGACTCCTGCGTGGGAGAAGAAACAAGGTTTCTTCTGCCCAGCCGACTCCTAGGTATTTTCCAACGACTCCTGTGAGACAAAAAAAAAAGTCCAGTGGACGATTGGGCCATCGACTCCCTTTCCGTCTCGGGTAATTGGCCTGACGACTCCCGAGGGAAAAAAAATATCAAAAAAATTAAAGATCAAATTTGGGAGGCCGACTCCCGCCCTTGAGGCGGACGACTCCCAACTTTTTTAATGAAAAAAAATAAAAAATATTTGGCTAAATTGGTACGACGACTCCCGCCCTTTAGGCGGGCGACTCCCTTTTTTTTAATAAAAAAAATTAAAAAATCACCATTGAAATTAGGACGACGACTCCCCTTTTTTTTGGGGGAATTGGAAGAACGACTCCCGTCCGACGACCTCCCGACCAAAACGGGAGTCGTCGACTAATTTTTAGGAGTCGTTTTTCCAAGCCCCTAAAAATAGGAATCTTGCATATTTTTGACCATGCACAAAAACCAAGCTTTGTGATCCCTGTATATGAATAATGGCTGGAAGGACTAGAGATGAATAGGATGAGAAAACCTTAAATATTAATAAAAATATTTCAATAGAAAATGAAAGTATCAAGCTCTTGCAAAAGAGGCCAAAACAGGTCAGACTCAATTATCAATGTGGCCAGGAGTTCAGAACTGATAATGTCATTACTGAACTAAAGAAAAGGAAGCTTCAAAATCTACAAGCACATAATTTCAAGATGTTGTTGTAATATGATGGAGGACTTCCCATTGGTTTTACAAGCCCTGTAAAGCCAGATTTCCAGGCTGTAAAGCTAATTCTCCAGCACACTATAATTCTAGCTTTTCATTGGAATTGAGCTACATGACTGTTTTTTAGAATTAGTCAAACCAAATTGGCCTCCATATTTGGCAAATCACCTTGCCCAAGGAGCTCATCCCACACACAAAACATAACCCCCAATCACTCCTCCACCTCTTGGTGGACTGTAACCAAGGAAAATGTTCAAGGCCAAAATTTTGCCCACTTTTTGAAGTACATACTTGTAAGTCTGGGTTTTTCAGTTGTTGACCAACACCTATGGTGATCTAATGCAAGCCTTAATCATCTTCCTCAGATGAACACTTATCCAGCTAGAAACTCAATGCACGGATCCATGTGGTGAACAAATTGACAAATTATGTGGCAATGTGGGGGTTCAACTTGTGTATCATACTCCCTTGTCCTGAACTCAAGCCAATTTAGCTCATCTTTTTGAAAGTCAAACCAACCTTTGTTTCTCTCAAGCGTTGTCAACCTCCCAAGATCCCAAGTAGGCAATTGAATTGACTAATTACCAAATCACATTGCCTCACTTATGTCAAAAAATTTTCCCCCATGCTGGCTATTATTGCCCTCACGTGATCAAGATATGTCTGAATATTATGTTTGTCAATGATTGATTTATTACCTTATTCTGTAGCATCTTACTGCTTGTTATCTCTACTATCTCAGACCTACTTAGCTGCTTGTGCTAGCTGTTTACACCTGGCATCTCTGGTATCCTTGTTTCCTCTATTATCTCTGAACTACTTAGCTGCTTGTTTGAGCTGTGCCTGCCTTTTTTCTCTGATCTCTTGACCTGTCATCATTTTATATCCTTGTGAGCAATGACATATGTGTGCTTTGATTTCAGTTGGGCCCCAGAATTGGGATGTGACTTGTGTGACGGTTGTCTGGATCCCATGTTGGAATCTTATTTGACAATCCTACCCAAGAGTGCCTTTGTGTATCTGGACCAACCTATTGACATGGATATGACCCAGGACTTTGATCTCACCAAGCCCAAGGATATCACCTAAGGCAATGATCAATTGATTGCAATTTATTTGGTGTGATTTGATTCCCAAGGTCACATCAGAAGTCCCTTACTGAGTGTCATTGGTGTCTGATTAGAGATCGTTCGTTCGTACTCGGGTACCTGTTGGTACCTAGGTACCTGTTGATTTTTTTTAGAAAATAGGTACTAAGTACCGCACCAGGCACCTCCCGGCGGGTACCGGCGGTACTTTTGGCAGGTACCACGGGTACCTCCCCTCTCTTCCTCACTTAGTTTGACTGCAAGGTTCATTACAATCCTTTTGCATCTTGTTTAAGTTTTTTTTGGGTGGATTTTTTGTGACTATCACTTTATTTTAAAAACATAAAAAATATAAAGTCAAAAACAATTGAAAAGAATTTAAAAAAAAACTGTTTGTAATTGCTGAAAAAAAAGAAACAAAAAAGAAAAGAGAAAAGAGAAAAAAAAGGAAAAAGAAAAGAGAAAAAAAAGAGATAAAAAAATAAAAATAAAAAAGTAAAAAAAGTAAGAAAAAAAAAGAAAAAAAGAAAAAAAAATGGCCTTGAGACTGGGGGGAACCCCAGCGTCCCGGCCAGGTTGACCGGAAGGGTTTCCTTCCGGTCGATGAGGTAGATGTACCTCATCAATCGGTGTGGAACTATCTTCTTGGTGGAGAATTCATGGTGGTGGTGGAATTGTTGAGATTTCTACTGTTATAATATTATTGCTATTGATCTAATGATATGTTGTTAATGCAGATTTACCAATGAAGATTTCTGCAGAGAATAATAAGGTATGTAAATTCTGAATTCTAATATGGTTGGTAGTAACTAGCTAATCTGTGACTGTATATTTAGCATAGAAACTGTAAGTGGTAGTGACTGAAACCAAAAGATCTGTTGGGCCACTGTTGGGACACCACTTGTGGAACTACTCTTGGGATGAATAGAGCTTGAGAGGGATGGGTGCTTTAATGGGCTGCCTCTCTGATAACAAGAAAATATAAGAGTATGGACTCTTAAGGAAAGGTGTGGCTTTGGAGATTTCTTGAGGATGGTATGTCTAATATGTCTTATGTTTACTAGTCTAAATATACTTGTTCACAAATCAAGGTATCCCAAATGTTGATGGGCAAATACCTGGCTAATAATGGGTGATCAGTTATCTGAATTGCTGGGGCAGGATCTGATGATGAACAAATGAAGAGGAAAAACAAAGCTCCTTATATACAAAATTCTGGGGAGTGGCCAGCTTGTGGTTGGAAGATAAATGGAACATTCTATGAAGAGTATGGAACAAGGGAAAATATTTTTATCCATAGAGACAGGGGAAACAAGCAGTGGGAAAATGCTCCCAAGGTTACTAGTGTGAAACAAATAAGGGGCAGAATATTCCATGGAAGGAGATAGGAGGAAATAACTGTTTCATGTGCAAGGGGATTGTTACTAGTGTGGAACACAAGGGATAAGAAGAATGGAATGTGTTTGGAGGGGAATGTGTTTCAGGGCTGTGGAGTTTCTGCTGGGAAATATTATTATCCATGGGGTCTGGGCTTGAGGGGATTCCTGATTGGTTTGGGGGTCTGAGGAGCTTTCTGGGGTGTCTTGATCCTGTGATTCCTCTGTGATTTGTACTCTTGATAACTTTGAATTTTCAGGAGTGGCTTACCACATCCACCCCCAA